CAGAAGTTGAGATAACCCTTAAATTAGACTTTTTTTAAACTGTAGTTTACAAAAATAGACAATCCCATGTATTCCATGTTACATTCTTCCCTTCTATCTATGGAGAGTCTCAGTCATCCAGCTCATGCTTCCCCCAAAGGTAATTTTTCAAAAGGCATCTGAACTTTGTTTTTTCTTGAAGACATTTCAGTTCTCATTCAAGAAGCTTCTTCAGTTCTTGGATGAGAAGCAAAATGTCAAGAACTGAAGAAGCTTCTTGGATGAGAAGCGAAACATCTTCAAGGAAAAACAAAGTCCAGTTGCCTTTTGAAAAAGCATCTTTGGGAATCTTTCCATTCTGTTTTTTCACTTCTAACCAGTGGTGGGATTCAGCTGGTTCACACTGGTTCAGCTGAACTGGTTGTTAACGTTGTGTGCAGTTCAGCAAACCAGCTGAATCACCATGCTGAGCCCGCCTGATGGATTGCCCCTCCCCCTGCCAGCCATTACTCGCCTCGTCTAGCCTTGCCTGAGGCCATTTTGGCTCAGCACTCCTCTAACCGCCTCCTGCCTCCCTCCAAGCAAGCGATGTCCGCACAGGAAAAATCCCAAGGCAGCTCTGACAAAGCACTCAGAGGGAGGAGCTGCAGCTACTAAACAGGCAGTCAAGCTAAGTGCCTGAAGGACCCCATCCATCACCAGGCGCCTCAGTGGGCAGTGAACAAGGCCTTGGCTAGGCTCCTCGGCAGACAACGGACTTTGCAGGGGGCAATCTAGCACCCAGAGCTGGCTCTGCCCTAAGGAGGACGGGGGCATCGTTGGGGCTCCTGAGAAGAGGGGCTTGGTCCCTATGTGGCACCATAATCCACGAGCTGCTGGTGGCGCTGCATGGTTACCCAAGCAGCCTCTTCATGGGCGGCCTGCAGTGGGCACCCTCGCTGCTCCCCTCCCAGCCACTCCTCACCTGGCCTGAGAAGTTAAGGCCAACGGTGGGGGAGGGAGATCAGTTTGGGGTCCACCGCGCTTGGCCAAAGGGCTGCCTGGAGGGGGGAACACAGTGAGGTTTGGACATCTTTTGGGCCCAGCTCCAGGAGGGAGGGCCAAGAGAAAGTGCCTGGTTCAAGCACACAGTGCCCCAGCATGGCACTCTCCCCCGAGGGTTGCTCACCTGCTGCCCAGAAGTGGCGAGTCCCCCCATCACAGGTTGGATGCGGGACCTGAGGTGGAGGGGAGGGTGAGCAGCAGCAGCTGAGAGCCTGGCCCAAAAGGAGGCCAAGCCTTGCCATGTCACCCCTGAGGCGGCCCTTTGCCCGAACAAAGCAGGTCTGGAGTGGGTCTCCCTTCCGCAGTATGCTGGTTTCTGCATTTAAGTTTGGAGTTGCTAGAGGCCACCCTCTAGGGAGACCTCTTCCTCCCCGCTGCCAGGTGATCCTGTGTGAAGGAGAGGGCAGCCGCTAGTAGAGAGGGGATAGTGCAAGGTTGGTTCTTCTGGGACTTGGGGACTTGGGAAGCATCTGGGTCCAGCTCATCTGGCCTCTCTTCCTGTCGCAGCCACGTATGCTGCCACTGCTGTTCCAGAGGACTGCCTCAGGAGCAAGGGGGAATAAAGAGGCCAGCCCCCAGGCCGAAGGTTCACTCTGAGACTGCGGCTCCCTAAATGGGAAAGCTGGCTGCGAGAGGAAGAGAAGCCAGGTGAGCTGGACCCAGACACTTCCTGGGTCCCCTCGTTCAGAAGCACAAACATCACACTCTCCCCTCTCTGCTAGCAGCTGCCCCTTCTTCACATGAGATCGCTCAGCAGCGGGGAGGGAGAGGGAGAAGGGGTGGCCGCTAGCAGAGAGGGGAGAGTGCAATGTTGGTGTTCAGTCGCACTCTCAAAGATCGGGAAGGCTGTGCAGGAAGAGAAAAGGCAGTGAAACTTGCAAGTGTGGAGGTGGAAGAGCAAAGAAGCAATGCTTCGGCCTGCCAGCTGGCCTCTTTTTCCCCCTGCTCCCGAGGCAGCTGGGTAGCACCAAATGAGGCCGCAGAGGCTTTATAGCATCCTGTCTCCTCATGTGAGAAGCGACCAAAGGGCCTTCCCACCAGGAGCGCCGCCATCGTTCCGATTCCCCACCTCCCTCTGGTGGCCTTCAGATGACTGTGGCTGCCCCTCCAACCAAGGAGAGAAGAGGACCCGCTTCAGCGACACCACCACCACCTGTGCCCAAAATCTTTCAAGTCTTGAAATGTTTCTTGAAAGTCACCCCAAAGAGGTGAGCAAAATAGGCTCCTTATCCTACATTCTCATTAGGGGTAGTCTTCGACTTATGACCACAACTGAGTCAAAATTTCCATTGCTAAGCAAGATTTAAGTGAGTTTTGCTCCACTTGTGATTTTCCTTGCCACTGTTGTTAAGTGATGTTCAGTAGTAGTAAATAAATAGAGAGGGAAATTGTATCTTATTGAGGCCCTTGAGGCGAGCAGCCAGGAGGCAGGGCCAGGCATAGTAAGTGACATTGAGTTGGCCATGCCCACCCAGTCACATGCCCACCCGCCATGCCTACCCAGCCAGTCATTAGGGCAGAGAAGTGGTTGTTAAATTATTTGAATCCCACCACTGCTTCTAACCAAAACAAGGTAGTAACAGAATGTCTAGAGATGCTTGCTTTCCTAGAGCTTCAGTTGAACATTGTCTATTGGAAGGAATAGCTAACCCCAAAGTAAAGTTTAGGTAATATAGTAAGAGCTTGTTTAGGCATAAACTAATTGCACTGTTATATAGTTTATATAACTAGGTTTTCTTTTGCATTACATATTCCTTCCATGATCCAGTAATCAACTCATAAAAAGATAGAAGGCTTATTTAAATGCAAGCCAGGCTAGGATCCTTAAATTAAAACTCTGATTCCAGTTGAGCCAAACAAAAAAGAAACAATATTTCTTCTTATACAAGGCACATTTTTTGCAATAGATCAGAAACAGTTTTCACCAATGGTTTTGGAACTGGTCTAATTACATTCCAAGGATGAGGAATGTGGGGTTCTCTAGGCTTCCAACTATCTTTAATCATGTGGCTGGAACTGATTAGAACTTGAGTCAAGCAATATTTAAAGGTTTGATTCTCCATCTATGCCATAGAAAAAAACATTGGCAAAGTATATATGGAATTGTGTTAAAATGACTGGGACAATGCATCACAGAAAGCCATAGTTAGCTTGATTACGAGACAATGATTAGGCTCATATAATATCCTATGTCAAATAAAACCAGTCCAATTTAATGCTTGGTGCAATGTGTGAATCTGAGTTGCTAGGACTAAAATCCTTTGTATACAAAGCAGGTGCACTACCACTCAGCAAATCCCATTGTATGCATATGTGTGTAAACTTTGCAGTGACTGAGGAGGAAATAGGTTTTAGAATCCTGATCAATAGCTCAAATTCTATACTTGGAATAACTAGGAAGCAAATTAAAAATAGTCAATATGGTAATGGTTTCTATAAGAATGCTCTTGAAAACACACTATTCAGTTCGGTCACTGCACTTCAAAGGAAAGCTGGGAAAAATACACACTCACAATCCTAACCAGCATAATTAGGCAGTCAAAACAGAAATGATTATATACCACTTTTAGTTTGGAGAGAAAGCAGAACATGAGAGCCTTGATAGTACAGTGGTTTAATGCACCCTGTTATTAACACAGCTGCCTGCAATTTCTGCTGGTTCGAATCTCTCCAAGGCTCAAGGTTGACTCAGCCTTCCATCCTTTCTAAGGTAGGTGAAATGAGGACCCTGTTTGTGGGGGCAATAAGCTGACTTTGTATAAAATATACAAAAGAATGAAGGCTATTGCTTAACGCATTGTAAGCCGCCCTGAGTCTCCGGAGAAGGGCGGCATATAAATCAAATTTAAATAAATAAATAAATAAATAAATAAATAAATAAATAAATAAATAAATGAGAGACATGATAGAAAATAGTGCAAGATATGGAAAATGAAGATAAAAAGAGTTTTATTTTGAAAGATAAATTCATGGAGATTGGGCTACTACTGACTAGTTATGGCTTTTACCATTTCTGATCACAAGGAAGATATGAAATACTTGCTTCTAGAAAGCTCCAGAGGGAGAAGTCAATCAATCAACTTCCTGATCTTGTTCTGAGCTTCCTGAATGCCTCCATTTGAGTATTTCAGACTACATAATCCTGACAAGATGGGGCCCCGATTCTGATCTTCAAGAGTTTTTGTTCCAGTGGACGGAAATACATTTGATTAATTGTTTGAACAAATCAAATTGTGTAATTAACATTCAAAATTGCCTCCTCTATTTTACAAAATAACATTTATAGCATATTTTATACTCTGAAATAATTATCAAGTAATCATTTCCTCTTGAATGGGTTTCCTGCCTGAGTAAGGGTTGGATTAGAAGAAATCCAAGATCTCTTCCAACTGTGAGTCTGTTATTGTGAATGGAATGTCTAATGCAAACAAACAAGAAAACCCTTTTTCCCCTTCAATCTATCAAGAAATTGGCAGTATTTGCAGTTTGTTGATAAGCTCATGAGTATCCATTTTGCTAATTAGAAAAAGTGAAATCCTTTGAGACAGAACTGCCTGAAAGTTGTATAATGGGAGATGAAATGGACGTGTTTCAGATCAAAATCTAAAATGCAATAAGATGGATATAATTTATTGTCAGGAATATTCAAATATCAGAATATATATTTTTTGCTCTTTCTTTTTAGATAAAGATTGCTGGTACCGTGTTTCCTTGAAAATAAGACCCTGTCTTATATTTTTTTGAACCCTGAAATAAGCGCTTGGCCTTATTGCCATGTGCTCAAAAGCCCGATTTGGCTTATTATCAGGGGATGTCTTATTTGGGGGGAAACAGGGTAGTTAGATATTATTAGTTGCAGCAGCACAAACAAAAAGGAAAGGCAAACAAATGTATGATAAATGCTTTCAAAATAAAAAAAACTAAATCTTGGTGTTTAGAAAAATCTGTGGAGTCTCTTAGAATTAGAAGTTACTTACCATTTAAAATGATGGCCAACATTACCCTGATTATTCACTATGGCATCTCAGACCTGACAAATGTTCTTGCAAATCTAAAAACAAACAAAAGCACAAAAATATTCCATTCATGTTTGCTTGTAATGGTTGCTTCTGCTTCTGGATTTTAAAAGAATTCTTTAAAATGCATGTTATCCATTTCCTGTTTAAACAACAGGTCTTTTTCTCAGGGGTTTTGCTTGTTTTCTGATCTTGTAAGCCTTCTAAAATCTCAATACTTTGCACACTTATTTGGAGATTAATTAAGGGCTGATTTTAATGGGCTACTCCCAAATGATTGTTCTCTGGATTACTACCCGAAAATGGTTTTTCAGAAAACAATGATCCCTGCAGCCTTCCTTATTTCCACTCAATTAATATGCCTGTGGCCTATGGCCACTTGTTGCTGTCTTCCCCTAAACTTCAGCTCTCCTATGTCTATGATGCTTGTTGAGAAATGAAAACTGGAAGAAATCTGGAAAAACATAGTTTGGGGGGAAATGGCAGTACTGAAATAAGTGCACAAATGGTGTGGAAATAGATATCTCTGATCCCAATCATCAATTAACATCTTTCCTCCACATCTTTCTGTATAATTTATGCAATAAAGACAAAATCTGCTCACCTGCCAAGATGAGAGCTGTGCCACCTTTTGTCCAGCCTTTATCATCAGATATGTTGTGTCTCTCACTGTCTGGGCTTCTACCCTCATTCTCAAAAGCTATCATTTAATGGTAGGGAAATCCTCTGTATCAGAAGGGGATTACTGGAGATGGAAGAATTTGTTCCATAAATCTCCTGGATTGCTGATAAATCCATCTGTTTTTATTCCTCCCCTTCTCCCCACCCCCGCAGTAATAGGCAAGTGTTGGATCTCTGCATTAGCAGGACTCTTTTTTTTAAGCCCTCAGTTCTGGTCCCTCTTACACAATGCACAAAGGAGAAAGCTTAATGTTAGTGTTTGGGTGCTGAGTCTTATGACTTTGACAATTATAGCAGAAAGAATTGGAGATAGAGCAGAAGTTGTCTTAGGAGAAAAAAACTCCTCTTGTCACCCAGACAAATACTTGTGGTTGAGCTTTTGTCCATAATTTGCACTGGAAGACACTTTTTTTAATTGACCAAGTTTGTAAACTTAAATTTAAAAGAAGCATCTATATTATTTCTCTTTTACCTGCTGTAGAGAGGAACTGGAGATTACCTGGGAAGAAAGATTATGAGCTGAACAGGAGCTGAGTAAAATCGGCAAGCTGGAATGTATAGAATGCTTATGTTCTCAGGTACACTTGAATATTTATTTATTTATACTCATTGATCCCCCAATAAACCATATGGTCAGTGAACATAGAACATAGAACATAGCCTGTTCTGATGCATGCATTTGACTGGTCTTTAGGATGTATTGTATCCATTGTTTCTTACATAATGTACAAGCAATATTCACTACAATTTTTTCTGGTCCCAGTAGAAACAATTAAGGACCTGACTATTAGATAGCAATGAGGGGAAATGATTGAAATAATTATAGATCCAGATTAAGAAAGATTGCAGAAGTCCAGGGATTTTAATGTGCTATTTGAAAGCTTGACATTAAAAAAAAAATATTTTCATAGGAGAAAGTAGTGAGAAGTGTCTATGTAATTTCTCAATCTTGGCAAGTTTAAGATGGGTTGACTGCAACTCCCAGAGTTACCTACTGTGTTTCTTTGAAAATAAGACCTGGTCTTATATTTTGGGGGGCCCAAAATAACCACTAGGGCTTATTTTTGGGGAAACACAATTTCAGAGTGATCAGCTCGGCTGGACACCCTGCCCTCCAGCGTGCGCATAAGAGGCAGCAAGCGTGCAGGGACCAACGATATCCAGTAGCAGCTGCAGCCTGCCTGTCCCTTGATTGGCACACTCTGGGGTTGCACAAACCACACAGCGCAAGTGAGTTGATTCCCTGTCCAAGCAGCAGACAGAAGCAGAGGTGCAGGGGTGAGGCAAGCACTCTGGATGCACTGCGCGGGCCGCAGGAAAGCCGAGAGACATGAAGATGAGTCTCCTGTGGCCAGCCACCCATTCCGGCCCACCAACTCTCAGAACTCTCAGAAAGTCCTTAGATCAATCTCCAAAACCCATAGCTATTCACTTGTGCCAGAATTGAGCCAAGCCTGTTCTTCCTCTCTAGGAAGCCATAGACTTAGGACAGTGATGGTGAACCTTTTAGACACCGAGTGCCCAAACCGCATGCACGCATGCCCAAACTGAAATGTGTGCATGTGTGCACGAACACACACACATGCACGGCCATGTGCAAATGTACGCATGTGCAGCCATGTGTGAACTTGCACATGTGCAGGCATGCGTGCATGCGCAGCAGAGACCCGAAAGCCAGCTGGCTGGCAGGAGGTGGGGCATCCCAACACCGGCAGTGCAGCAAGTGGTAAGAACTTTTTATTTCGTGAGCTTGTTTCATCATTTGCAGGGAAACAGCAGCTCATGAAAGAAACGCCAGGAGACCTGGGGCAACGGTGCGCATGCCACCAGAGAGGGCTCTGCATGCCACCACATGTGTGGCATAGGTTTGCCATCATGGATTTAGGATATTGCAAATGCTTTCAAAATGTGATAAATAAGTTATGGCTAAGGTTTGCAAAATATTGTTGAAACTGAATTTGGAAAATGTACATGTTTAATACTGCATGATTTAAAAGGTTAAAAATGTATTTTCTTTTTAAAAAATATAATTTGAGCAATTGGAAATTTATAATGTATTATAAATTGTAAGAAAATAGTTATAAAGTGATGAATTAAAAGTAACTGTAATTGAAAGGATGACAATCTAAGAAAAATCTAGACTTTTAAAATGAATATAACGTATTTTTACCTTGTAGAGTTTTTGGATGAAGAATTTGAAAGAAAATGTAGATTTTGTTATAAATGTTGGCAGTATAGAATATCCAATAAGCTTAAATGGAAAGATGTATTGTTTTTCACAATGGAAAAATTGATTTAAAAAAATGGACTTGGTTGTGACGGCAATGTTAATTGTTTTAAACAAAGAAAACCAGTCCTATTTTCAGGGGGAGAGGGTCTTACACTGACTCACCTTGCGGCAGTGGCACCGACAGTCCCACTTAGCAGGAGCCCACTGCCAGCCCATTTCTTCTGCGCCGCTTGCCACCGCTCACATACTTCGCCCCTGGCCTCTATTTCTCTGTCAGAGGCCTTCCAGAAAGCCTTGTGCATCTGATAAACAGGCTCCAGATTGATACGTGCGTCACCACTTCCCCCCGTTTCGCCATCAGAGGCCTTCCAGAAAGCCCTCTGCAGCCAAGAAACGAGATCCGGATTTATGCGTGCATCGCCCCCTGGCCTCCGTTTTGCTGTCAGAGGCCCTTCCAGAAAGCCCTCTGCAGCCGATAACAGAGCTCTGACAGCAAAACGGAGGCCGGGGCGGCATGCGCAAGTGGCAGCAAGTGGCCGAAGAAGTGGGCCGGCAAGGCAAAGCAGGTATTCAGCAGCTCCACCCCCCATCCCCACCCTAGCTTAATTTTTACCTGTGCACCTCACCTTACCCCCTGCACCCTGGAGTGGGTGGGGTCTTAATTAGGGCTTATTTTGGGGGTAGGGCTTATATTGGGCACACGTGTAAAAATCAAGCTAGGACTTACTTTTGGGGTAGGTCATATTTTCAGGGAAACACAGTAGATTTGTTGGAGCTGAAGGTTGAATTATATGGGGTTAAGTCTATACAACTGGGAATTTATGCCCCAAATGAGATAAAGCAAAGTTTTATAAGTGACATAGGGAAAGTAATGATTTTTCTTATGAAAATTAGAGTTTGATGGGCAACTAACATTTCCTCACAATTATATAAATCATCTGAGAAAAATATCAAAACCACTCAAGATAAATTACCAAATGCCTCTTTTAATATGATGGATAATTTAGGGTTGATGGATAGATGAAGACAGAAAAATGGAAATATTCCTAGTTTTCAAAAAGACATAAATCTTTTTTAAGAATAGATATCTGGGTTTCAAAGAATTTAGCTACAAGGCTTGCTAAAGTACAGATTTTACCAAAGACTCTTTATGACCATAACCCTGTGAGTTTGTTTTATAAAAATAAAGTTATTATTTTCAGATGGAGACTAAATAAAATGTTGCTACAGAAAGAAAGAACAGTGAAGGACTGTAAAAACAAACATAAGATTTTTTTGAAAATAACTTAAATGAGGTATGGACTTTACAATGATTTGTTATGCAAACAAAGCTTTTGTGAGAAGATATCTTATAAAATATAATGCTTTACTTAACAAGAAGGCCAAGAGAAAGCACAGCCTATCTTTGATGTAACAAAAAGAAAAGGAGAATTAAAGAAATCTAAAAGGAAGACAAATATCTCTCACCAACTTTTACAGGAATAGTTGTCGTAACAATAAAAGAAATGAAAATAAAAATTAGCTACATTAAACAAAAAAAATTTAAATAAACCAGGGAAATAAATTAAGAAAAGAAAAAAATAGTGAAACTTCAAGAGGGAGACTGCAATAATGAATAATATGGCAATACAAAAGGTTTTTCATCAATATTACTTTAATTTGTAGGATATGATAGCCCTGTGGGAAAAAATAGAGGAATATTTAAAAAAATAAAATTTACCAAAGATTATAGAGAAACGATAAAAAATTATGAATGTTCCTATAATGATTAAAGGTTTCTGAAAGTTTTAAAAAAATAAACTAGGAAAAGTATTATGAATAGATGGATGATCAGGTTCTTATTATAGATGTTTTGAAGATCAACTCTTGCAACCTTTGCAAAATATGATTAATTTTATCTTACAGGGAGGAAAGATGCCTGATATGTCAAATTACATAATTATATATATGTAACACTAGTATCCAAAGAACAGCATTTGACTTTGATGAGAAATTATAGATCAATATAATTACTTAATGATTATAAACTGTACACAATGATCCTAATTGATAGTCTGAAAATAATTTCATAAGAACCTATACATTAAGATCAAGATGAGTTTTTACCTAAAACACAGTTAAAAGAACAGTGTTGGATATTTTAGAATATTTTGAACAACTCAATGTAGAACAAGTTGCATTATTTATTTATTTTTGATGCAAAGGGAGTCTTTTGACAATTTGAAGTGGACTTTTTATCCAGCCTTTCGTTTATTTTAGCTTTAGAAATATGAAGCAGAGACATAAGAGGACAGGATTAAGGGTGTAAAGATTAAAAAAGAAATTTATAAATTAAGAGGCTTTTCAGATGACATTGTATTAGTCCTAAAGGAACTTTTAAATGTAATCTAAACTTTAATGGGGATATTAAAAGAATTTGGAAATGCAAATTTTAAGATCAACAAAAGACAAAGAATGTTGACAAAAATATGAAGACACAAGATCAAACAGAATTGAATAAAATAGGTTCCAAGGTTGAGAATCAGATAAAATATTTGGGTATTAATATGAGAAATATAAATTGTATGCTTTTTCAAAATAATTATGTTAAGACTGGAATGAAATAAAAGACACGCTAGGGTGCAAGAAAACACAATTATCATTGTTGGAGAGAATTTCGGTGATTGAGATGAATGTCTTGCATAGAATATTATTTTTATTTCAGATACCAGTTTTGACATCTGATGTATCATTTAAACAATGGCAGAAAGATATAGCCAAATTTGTTTAGCAAGGGGAAAAACCGTAAGTGAAATATAAGGTGTTACAAGATGCAAAAG